TTTTTTTTTACAGTGCAAAAAGGAAAAAAACAAGCAATGGTAACTCGAGCAAACCTCAAACCAGGGAGGACACCATGAAAGTGTATCTTGGCTCAGTAAACTCGGAGACAAGGAAAAGGAAGAATGAACATCAAACTCCTTCCGATCCTCAGTCTGAAGCAAAATGTAGGCGCATAGAACAACCAAAGGATTGCAAAAATGCAGCTGAGAGCTTCCTGTTTTAGAACTGGAAAATGATGTTAATCGGAGACAGCCAGATGATGCTAGCAGCCAGAAAAACTTCACTCGGCAGAGTGGTTAAAGATGAGACTTCTAAGCAAGTACCTTCCATGTAGATATGAGTCAGCACTGCCAGATCCAAAACAAAGTCAAGGAGTGACTGAAACACAGAATCAGCAAAGGAGCTGTGGTTCAGAAGAAAAGTTGGATCCCTGCAAAAAAGCATTTTCTGAAGAGGATTATCTAATCCCCACAGACACAGAAACAAAAAAAAACCAATGTTGATTGTTTAGAACCATCTTCAGAAGTGAAGACCCGATTGAATTCCAAGTTGTTTGCTAAACAAGACTTGGCAAAATCTATGTCTGATGAAGAGTCACTTACTTTGGGAAAAAATCCCCTAAGACCTTTTTTTTATGAAAAATAATACACCAGTTGAGCAGACAAACCAAAATGAGCTAGCCACAACCACTGAAGAATTATGCCTAATGCCTTTATCCTCCTATTTAAAACTTAACTCCAAGCCTTCAGAGGAGCTTATGCACAAAAGAAAGAAAGATGTTGAAGACAGATCTAGAAAGTTAAAACTACAGAGGGTTAAGAAGTCATGGTGCACTAAATATCGCCATTGTGAATTCAGTTAGGCACCCATAGTTGTTTTCAGCAGACATGAATGCCAAGTTATATTTGAAAGAATTCAGAAAAAATAGAAATGATAAAATTGCAGATGATTAAATGTACCAGTTAAATTGTTAAACTTCTTTGCAATGAAACTAATTCACTACATGCCTCAAATACATAGATCTGCTATAACAATACACTTGGTTTTTGCCTGTCAAAATAATGTATTTAAATATTTAATAAAAGAAGGACATAGTGTTTATATAATTAGTCAGTATTTCACATATAACATTTTACCATTTCAAACTAAAGTTTCTCTGGGGAGGATAGGGTAAATTTTGATACTACTAATAAATCATTACCCAAAGATCTGAGGACATCAAAATTAAGGCAACTGTCAGAATCATTTCACTTACCGTTTTTCCAGTTTTGTGCTGACTGCTAAACACAAAATTTTATTCATTAGTAGAAATTCACCCATTAGGCTTTTAGTGGGGAAAATTCTTGTTTAATTAATTTGATATTTGGAAAGAGAAAAAATGCCCCAGGGTAGTGAAATTTAAACTTTCATTTTCTTTTAAAATATTTTGAAATAGCGCTGAATCCATAACCTTCTTTAATTTGGCTAGTCATTTAGGGCCTACCTTTTCATTGGGGACTCAACATAAGCAGCATTTGTGCATCTGCAGTTTCAGGGACACACAATTTGTAGTACTAGCTGTGTACACAGGTGGTAGAATTTTTGCATGCTTATGCCATTTAGAGAAAGCTTATACATGCAAGGCCTAGCACCTACCGTTATTGCTGGGAATAGTTCATGCACACAGATCTAAAAATCATACTGTATTTCCTTGTGAGGGGCACTTGTAGCTGTCTTATATTTGCTTGTATATAAACTATATCTGTGGTGTTTGGCTACTGTTAGAAAGTTTGTGTTTAATTTTTAATTGTGCGTCATTTTTTAATATCACTTTTATGGGTTGCACAACTCATTGACATGTACCAATTAACTCATTATTTCATTTTTGTTTTCCTAAAATAGATGCAATAAAATTGAAATAAATGTTTCCTTTTAGATTAGTCTTTTAAAATCTATGTGACCACAGAAACTTCAGCATATGGAGCAAATTTTGCAAAACCATACTACTGGCCACAGTGCTCACTATTGTGAGGTCTTTCATTTAATGGAAAAAGTGTTGGCCTTAGGGCACGTGTAGACAAAATGGGGACTTACTTTGCCCTAAATTGAAGTGGTGGGTTTTAAAAACACCACTTCAATTTAGGGCAAAGTAAACTCCTATGTCATGTACACCTGTTTCTTACCTGCCACTCTGGCGCTGGGGAGGGGAGGGCAATCTGCCGGCAGGCGGAGTAGTCCCTGAACTGTGGGTAAGGGGCAGCTGGTGCTTCCCTCTGTGGCAGCGGTGGTCCCTGCCATAGGCGGCACCTACCCACAGGCATCCAGCTCGGGCAGTCACAGGGGGCACCATAGCTGCTGAGGGAAGGACCAGGTCCCAGCACAGCTCAGGCAGGCAGGCTGCGGTGGTGGGGGGTGGAATCCGGCTCACCACCTTTTTTTTCTTTGGTGGAGCTTGTCTTCCCGGGCTGCTGCTAGGCTACCTGCAGAGCCCCTGAGCTGCACAGAGCCTGATGCTCCACTCCGCGGCTGTAGGGCAGCAAACTACAACTCCTCAGGTGTTTTAGTTTGCTGACCCCCAAGTCATGTATGGCGCATTATGCCGCTGAATGTGCTACAGTGGCTGGAATTAATGTGCGATACGCTGCCGACACATGCAAACACTAACACCATTAAAGCAGTGCAAAAGCATTTAATCTGCTTTAAAGTGTCATGCACACATGCCCTTCGTTTTGTCTATACATGCCCTTAGGCACTGCACTTAGTCTTAAGTGTTTGCAGGATACAGTTCCTTGAGAGGAGTAGTTGCTAAACTGCAAATGACTGTTGACTTGAACAGCACCTTGTATATCCTTATTGGTTATAAGTAACTTCTTCAGGGACTTCAAGGGGAAAGGGATTGAAGCTGTCTACAAGAGAAGACATTTTCTCTGTTATGTTTGTTCTCATTGTGTATTAGACAGAGCTTGACAAAACGGCTTTTGATGATCTCTCTTCCTCTGGCTCTGTAAATAAGTATTTACTAGGAATAGAAGTAAAACTAAAACTGAATTATATACAAGCATAGGCGTAACCAGTATTTTCAGCACCCTGAACAGCAGAGGGGCTCCGGGCTTCAGCAGGTGTTGTCTCCATTAGTGTGGAGTGACAGGAAGTGACAAGGACCCAGCAGCCAAGCAGTGCAGGTAGGGGTCTCTAGACTCCAGCACCTACGACCTCTGTTGATACACCACAGGAGCAAATGAACAGGACCAACAGTAGTCAGTGGGTGCAGGCAGGGGGCCTTGAGGGTGCTGCGAAAAGCCATGATGAGCAAAGATATAAAGTGCCAAATTTGGCAGTAGGATTACATGCCTGGCTGCAGGCTCCCTCTTTTCTTTCCTTACTTCACAGCTTTGAGCCTTCCTGCTCTTGGTTGCTGCCTCCTGGCCACTTCTGTCTACCCCATGGTGCTAGAGGCCATTTGACCCTCCTTTGCTGTGTTCTGATGTCCCCCTGCCTCTGGCCTGGCACCCCTGATTAGTCAGTACCTGAGGCTTGTGGCTCCTTGCCCACTGCTAGTTACACTATGGGCTACAAGCGTACCTGTGAGGAACCAAGGCATGCTTAATGGTGCATCATTATCAAAACTAATCTGGATAAGTGTACTGCTGCCAGATTGGTCTACATGAATCAGTTAAATAACATGTAGAGTGATATGAGGGTAAGTTACAACCTATGTTCTCTACTATACCCATGTGTTTAGTTTCCATGATTTCCACCATGCCTTGATCTGGATCTCTGGGAGCTTTCCATTATATTCTTGGTTGTAACACATTTATGGTGGTACCTGCTGGAGAGGTGTGGATGATAAACCCTTTAACCCATGTGTTTTGGTTTAAATATGGAAAACCATTTCTATTTCTTTTTTCCCATGTTATGCTCTTTCTATCAGAGAAAGACAGGCAAACTCATTACAGCAGTAATAAACAGTAGCATGTTTGAGCAAGCACAGGATAAACTTCATATTATTGTATTTTCTTAAATGCTTTACAGTCTGCTCTTACAGAGGGAAAAAACACTAAATCCATTTAAATCAAGCAGTTCTGGAAAGCAAAAATCTGACTGCATACACTGTGTATGACCAGGTATCAGTCTTAATTTATGGTTAAAGGGGTTTATATTTTCAGTGCAAACATTCTATTTGATTCAGTTTTCATTTTAATGAAATAGGATAGAATGTGTATATATTTGCAAATAAATATCATTGTGTAGGTTTAAAGGGTGACTTGAGTAAATTGAATCTATTGTTGCCTGGAGCACTTAGTGTTGTATTTAGGCATGATCCAAAGTACTTTATTCTCGAATTAATGTAATCACTAGGGCCTGGTGAAATTCATTCCTGGGTGCTGAAGGAACTAGCTGAAGAAATCTCACCACCACTGGCAATAATATTCACAGGGCACGTCTACACAAGATGCTACATTACTGTAATGATGAGCTACAGCAACGTAGCATCAGTGGGCACAAACCGTGACGCTGAGGAGACAGCACAGTAGGGTTGGAAATGACCTGTGCACCACCAGGACTGCACAGTAACAGCAGAGTCACGTGCTAAACCAAGTGATAAATGTGGATATGCCCACAGAGACATGGGTGACAGATGAGGTCCCAGAGGACTGGAGATGGGCAGTTGTCATCTTTAAAACTGTGGAAAAGGAGGATCTGAGGAATTAGAGATTGTTAAGTACAGACTGGCTTCAATATCTTGGAGGTTGCTAAAGCAAGTTATACAACAATCAATGTGTAAGCACCTAGAAGAGAAAGGGGGTGATCATTTATCACCAGCATGGATTTGTTTAGGACAAATGCTAAACCAGCTTGATTTCCTTCTGTGAGAAAGTAACTAATCTGGTGGATGAGGGGTATGCAGTGGACATAGCATACTTGGACTTTAATGAGTAGGGACATACCAAATATATGGTGGGGCGGAGTGCATGGCAGCTCCTTTAATCTTGCAGGTTCCACTGTGCGGAGAGGCCCCACTATTCGCTCCTTGCTCCTGATTGGTGTGGAGACAAAATGCAGTTTTAAATATGGCGCCGCTTATCACTGATTGACTGAGGGGCCTTGGCAGCCACGCTGTTGCTTACTGGCCGAGAGGCAAAAACAGCACCATATTTAAAACTCTGGGTTTTGCCTCCTCACTGATCAGGAGTGAATAGTGAATGGTGGGGGTGAGGGTACATGGGTGAGCCTGCAAAATAAAAGGAGCTGCCATGCACCACACTGCTCACTGCTGATCAGCGGGGAGGGAAATACTGCAGTTTTAAATATAGTGCTGTTTTTGCCTCCTGCCTGGTCAACAACAGACCGCGTGGCTGCCAGGGCCCCTTGGCCAATCAGCAGCGAGTGGCAAAAATGACACCGTATTTAAAACTGTGGTTTAGGCGATAGAATGATAGGGTTGGAAGGGATGTCAGTAACCAGCCTGTCCAATCCCATCAATGAATTCAGGATGCGCTGTTCCTAAATAATTTCAGAGATGCCAATCCAGCCTTTTCCTAAAATGCCAACACAAGGGATTCCACAGTTTCTCTAGGCAGCTTGTTCCATTTTCCTTCTGCTCTTACAATTAAGAACACTTTTATTTTTAGATTTAAGCTGCTTTGCTATAGTTCAAATAGAATATTCATGTCCTGCCTTCTGTAGCAAGGTAGGGCAGTTTTTCTCCCTCTTCTTTGTCTCATATCATGATGATGCCTCCTTAATCTCTTTTTTCCTTCAAACTAAACAAACCTACATTTCTACTTCTAGCCCTACCATTCCATTGCCTAATGATTACAGAAGAGTTTCCTTACTTGTAAATAATGATCATGTAACCTGTACCTTAAAACAAAATGAGAAGTCTGTGCCCAGAATGGTAAAGATATTTAGATGTCTAAAGATTCAAAAAGGCATAGAGAGGACTATTGCATAGGCATCTACCTCTCATTGAAATCAATGGCTTTAGACATTTTTGAAAATCCTGCCTGTAGTTCCTGCGAAAGGGCACAGAACTCTCAAAGCAGTTAGTCTAGCACCCAGTGAGACTTTTTTTAGTACATCAAGGTGCTCTGAATTCTTGATTATCCCTGGATCTTCATTAGCATTAGTAGACAAACTTAATTTTTTTTACATCTCTGCTTGGTAAGATCGTTGTGAAGATTTCTCTTGGTAGCAGACTGCATGGAAGTTTTGCACATCTCTGTGACCTCCAGATTCCCTTCCAGGCTGCCATATGTTTTTGAAACCTTTGCCCTTCACCTGAAACTTTCACCAGTAGTCTAGTATTTTTCCCGATCTGTAGTCCAAGGACTAGTCTGAGCCCATCCTGCTACCTAGTTTGACTGATATATACTGAGCTAGGCCTGGGAACAGAAAGACCTAATAAATATTGTTCAGGGCCAGTGCATAATACGTTGCCATTTTTCATTCTTGGAACCCTGATCTTCCAATACAAACTACTTGTAAAACATCATTAGTGTACTCCCTGGGAGAGGCAATATTAAGGACTTGATTCAATTCTGAAATTATAACAGCTAGGACTAGGGCAAATATTTTTAGTTTGAAGAGCATTTTCAGGCTACTCTGGGATCTGCAAAAAATGGAAGGGCATAACCTGTTAGAAGTTCTGCTGCCAACTCAGTTAACAGGGATCTGTCACGAGAGGTTCAGGCAGAGGTTATGAGAAACTGATTGGCCAAACCCACAAAATGGAAAATTCACACTTAAAAATATGTAATTGCCTAAAGAAATGTGAAACCTTTTTGCCCTAAAATATACAGTTCATTTGGACTGCTTTTTGACTGCTAAATAAATATATTATGAAGCAGTTTCTCCAAAACAGCATAGTTTGTAAGGTCTGCAACCTATCCTTTTTGTTGACTTTTTTTCTTAAGTCACAACAAATAAAATTT